TCAGTTTACTTAGTAATGATAAGTCTCTCTTTATGGTTTGTGTGTGGGTGTATGTTTGAGAATTACTGAATAATATGGGGAAAGTATCTGGTAAATACTAGATTTGCTTTTATTCCTTTTCCATTAATTATCTTTCTTGTGACTTAAGTTTAGTTATTATTTCATTATATTTCTGTCATCCTTCTTCTTAGGTAGTCTTTTTTTCCTTCATTGTTTTTTAAAAGTAAATGGTTTCCATCATGAGAATGGTGACACATTTTTACAGTTGGAACAATTTTTGCTCCAATAGCTGCTTAGGAACTAAGTAATTGTAAAACCCTTAAGAAATTAAACACAGATCAGAGTTTTTCAACTATTTAAAAAATTTTAAATGTTAAAAAATTGCCCACAATCTTTCAACTTACCTTAACAAAGGAACTTTTGTATTTTATTTTTGTATTTTTCTAAGGAAAGGCACAAATTCTGTTTTTTTTTTAAGTCAGTTTTTTCCCACCACCCAAATATAAGTCAATTAAAAATAGATGGTACAGGGGTATTATGAAGTCTAAACTACAACTGGATATAAAATGAGCTCCCCTAAATTGTAGATATGGTGTGAACTTTCTCTAATATGTATCTGAGAAGGGACTTTGTCTTGCTACCTAATGTAAAAGGCAGCTCTCAGTATAATCACCCTGAACCACAAGTGGGAAACAGATGGCTTTTCAGCTGTGGACATAGCCAATTATGCTATAATCTTCTCCTTCTTGTCATCCTTCTCACAAATTAAACCTGGCAAATGATTGGGAACAACTCACAAGTCAGCAGGAACAACAAAAATATGTTGGATACAATTTACAATGGTTTCTTCCTGATGTAAGACAGAATGGTGCAGGATGAAATTAGGGATCAAGATGACTTTAGGCTACATTTAAATTCTAAAAATGCTAATTTTACCAGGGTTACTGAATTAAAAATATCCATGTTTTATGCTTTTCAACCCTGGAATGGTCAACAGCATGTTTTTAGGAGGATATTATAGAATCACAACATATTATCATTAGAAGACACCTCTGAAAGGCAATTCCTAGGTGACAAAGTTCCAAGCAAAGTGGAACAAAGGCAGTAATTAATTTCATAAAGTTTCATAAATAATTCCATAAGGAGAGCCACAGTCTTCTCTTAGAAATCATGCAGAAGCAAAGCTCCCACCTGTGCTTAAAATGGTATCAGAGTTACACTCTGAAGTGCTGATATTGTGTTTGTTTTGTTTTGTGGTACTAGGATTTGAACCCTGGGGTACTCTACCACTAAGCTTCATCTCCAGTCCTTTTTATTTTTTACTTTAAGACAGAGTCTCCCTGAGGTGCTGAGGCTGGCCTTGAACTTGGGATCCCCCAACCTCAGCCTCCTGTATAGCTAAATTACAGGGATGTGCCACCTTGCCTTCTTTACATTTGATGTTTTGAAAAACAAAATGATTATTAAGTGTCCATAGTCAACCAGTCACCTAATATAATAACCCAATGAACTGGGGATAGTTCCTCCATTACAAAGCTTTACATAATTAGATACAATAGAAAGCAATAATTAGATATAGTAGAGACCAATGCTATTCAAAAGGTGGTCACTATAAACACATGTAATCTAACATTAAAGTACTTAAGGAAAACTATGGAGTGGGTCAGGGTTTGGGATAAAGGCAGAATTAATATTAAACAGGGGGGACTTGATGAAAGAAGTATGCAGCCTGGCCGCTTGGAAAAGAGAGAGAATCCAAGTCAAGTCCAAGACATATTATGCCTGGTTGAATTTTCATTAAGACCAAAGTCTCTCTAATGGCATGAAAAATAATTGAATATAAAATTAGGTCCATGTTGACTGTTGAATGTAGGAGAAAGTGCCATATAGATGTGAAATCTTTAACTTATCGTAAAATTTTCTCTTTATCAGTTTATAATGATGAACCAAAAGTCTGGTAGTGAAACATTCTGCTTAATTATATAGCTAAGAGTTGACATAGCTTTTTATTTATTAGGTTGTTCCACATAAAATTTACTGTCACTAGACTTTGACTATGTCTGACATAATACAATGGTAGTTTCTTATGCTTCAAGAGAAAACATGTATTAATAATTCAATACATGTAAGAAGACATGTATTGAATTATATGTAATCATTTGTCATTGTATAAATGTTTCTTCTTTGTTTTATTTCTACATAGTATATAAATATATTTAGCATTAAATTCATATTAAACATAGTTTTGTGGGGGATATTTATTGTCATTTTTTTTTTTTCCCCAGTAGTGGAGATTGAACTCAGTAACACTTTACCACTCACTGAGCTTTACATCCCAGCCCTTTTTATTTTTTATTTTGGCTGGGATTTGTTAAGTTGCTCAGGCTGGCCTCCAATTTGCAAACCTCCTGCCTCAACCTCCAGAGTCACTGTGATTACAGATGTGCCCTACCACTCCCAGCCAATATAATTTTGATGACTGGGAAAGCACATGCTGCTTTATCCACTCAGCATCGACTGGGCGCCTGTTAGTCTCTAGCGCTCTGCTCCAGTTTGAGGTACAAAGATAAGTGGAATGTACTTCTTGTCCATGAGCCTCTCACAGTTCACTAATGCAGATAGCACTGTAATAGGTGATTATCACAGAGACCATGTAGAGGGGTGAAGAAGGCAGGCCCTGGAGGCACACATACCCTGGGCTTTGCCACTTTTCCAGATGTCCAACCTCGTAGCCTCTTGGAAATAATAATAGTACCTCACAGTACTGTGAGAATTAACTGTGGGAACGCATGTGAAGTTGCTTAGCATTGCACTGTATTTAACAAGTACTCAGGAAATGTTAAGTATTACCTAATGTGTTAAATGCAACTTATGAAATTAGGCATGGTTGTTACTTGCTTCCTTTTGAATGTAGTCAGGTAAACTGGTTTTAATTATAAGCAACTCATGATTGGACAACCATAAGAGTTTATAGTGAAATTGTTTGCTCTTGAAAATTGTTTGGAGAAAATTTCATCCTCTTTTTCCTGGAAATGGAACCTATTGTCAATCAAAGTCTTGGTCTAGTGAAGTAGCTGAACAGATTTTACACATCTTTTAAAAATGAGGCTAACTTTCCCAGGTTCTCAACATTCTTTTAACGCCTTTATAATTAAGAGGAACCCAGAAATTTATGGATTTGATGATAATAAGAACTTTACTTCCCTCCTCGTTCAATCCACCTTTGCCTCTGATACAAAAATAAATGTTAGTTATGAGGAGATTCTCTGTGGGCATGAATGCTGGGTTTTATCTTTTTTTTTTTTTTTTCTGTACTGGGATTAAACCCAGGTTTGTGCTGCCTGCCACTGAGCTACATATCCCAACCCTTTTTATATTTTGAGACACAGTCTCACTAAGTTGCTTGGGCTGGTCTTAAATTTTTGTTCCTCCTGCTTTAGCTTCCTGAGTCACTGGGATTAAAGGCATGTACCACTGTGCCCAGCATGAATGTTGTTTACCAAAATTCACTGAGTAATCTTTATGGTCAGTTAAGTAATATTATTGAGCCCTACTATTTATGAGGCACTGTACTAGGCTCTGCAGCTATAAAGGTAAGCAAACCTTTATAGGTTTGTGAAGGTCAGGGAAGAATTCATTTAGGTATATGACATTGAAAAATATAACTGGACAGGTGACTGGGGATATAGGTCAGTGGCAGGGGGCTTATCTCTCATGCATGATGCTGTGGGTTCAATCTCTAGTATTGCAAGAAAATACATAAGTAAAACTAATTGAAAAAAACAAACACAAATTTACCCTTTAGAAGAGCTGGTGTTTTTCCTCCTTAGTTTCCTTTTTTTTTTTTTTTTTTAGTTTTTTTTTTTAGTTTTCAGCAGACACAACATCTTTGTTTGTATGTGGTGCTGAGGATCGAACCTGGGCTGCACACATGCCAGGCGCTACCGCTCGAGCCACATCCCCAGCCCTCCTCCTTAATTTCAACACCATTAGCCAGTTCACGAAATAAAAGCTTTGTCAAATAAATTGTATGGTTAACTTATAAAAGATGCTAAATTGATATAAATTATTCTATCACCAATTGAATTTATTTATTTATTTATTTATTTTGCAGTATGGGGGATTGAACTCAGAGGTACTCTACCACTGAACTACATCCCCAGCCCTTTTTATTTTTTGTTTTGAGACAGGATATCCATAGGTTGCCCAGGCTGGCCTCAAACTTGCTGTCATCCTATCTCAGCCTCCTGAGTAGCAGGGATTACCAGCGGGTGGTGCCCAGCCCGGCTCCTCCCCCCTTTTTTTCTGGTACTGGGGTTTGAATATAGGGCCTTGGACGTGCCAGGAAAGTGTTCCACCACTGAACTACTTCCCAGCCCCCTAATTCTATTTTTAACATTACACATGACCTTTTGTCTCAATGTTATTCTGCTCCATAAGGACTTTCATGTGATCAACTGTACTTAAAATATAACATTCACCTCTAGAGTGATTTTATCATTACTAAGACACACACACACACACACACACACACACACACACACACGCACACACACAAATGTATATTTAATTATAAATCCTTATACATGCTGACCTAGAAGTTAAGAAAATTTTAGAAGACTATATGAGGACCCTAGAAAAGCTCTTTATTTCTTGATCAGGAAGAATGCCTGGCTCTCCAAAGATATTTCACATCTAAATGTGAAGTGTCTCCCTTCCCTGCCTTTTGTTTTCAGGGAGTTGACTGGGGAAGAGGGAATCCAGTACACACTTAAAACTGCTTGATTTGTAAGAAGGATTATAATATACCAAACACTACATAAAGTGGTGTTTTCTTATTTCCTCAGAAATGTAATTTTTCTCTCAAAACACAGGGAGGAAAGAAAATAATTACAGACAGTATCTCACCGTTTTAACTTTCACTAGAAAATTTACAAGATTATTCATGCTCATTTCTTTTAGCCTTAAATAAATAAAATCTTAATTAAATAAAAGGATGGGTGCTTGCTTCACAGCATGCATACTAAACCGGGAAGGATACAGAGAAGATTAGCATGGCTCCTGAGAAGGGATGACACGCAAATTCATGAAGTGTTTCATATTAAAAAAAAAAAAAAAAGATGATTCTCAAGCTATTATGTGGAATCTTTTCAGATTGATTGGGTGGTTTTCAATGATTTACTACAGAATGACCATTTCTTCCCTTTTACATTTTTCTCAGCAATCAGTGAATGATGTATTCATCAAACTTAAGAGAGGGCCCAGATAGAATATCTCTTGATGAGGCACATAATTAATCGTTTCTCAAACCATTTGGATTACAGCGGGTCAAGGGAGACCATAGCAAGAAGCTTGACTAATGTACTGATATTTATCATGAGAAATGAACTCATATACGGAATCATTTGATGCAAAATAAATAAACTATTTTGCTATAGCATTATCACAAGATCAGAATATCTTACTTTGAAAAAAAAAGGAGCACAATGAAGCTTTACTGTAAGAGCAGGAAAACTATTAGCTTGTTGCTTTTGGCAGTTTCTTTTATCAGATCTTTTCTCTTAGATTAAACATAAATCAAAATCGTTATCAAAACTAACCGGAATAAACAGGGTTTGTTGTTGCTCTGTAGTGGAACAGGAACCTAGCATAGCCTGAAGCCATGGGTTTAATCCCGAGCACCAGAAGACAGACAGACACAGACACACACAAACACACACAAATTATATTACCAAAAGTGCTCTGTTACCAGAGCTATTGATCATTAAATTAGCCAGAAGCTGAAGAATTTGCAAACCTTTCAACAGGTCATATTGCTAGTAGTGTGTGTTATTTTATAATACACCTAATTAAATGAGTAATCAAGTAAGGCAACAAAAACACTATATCACATTTATTGAACTCTTTTTATGAACCAGGTACTGTGTAGGCACTTACATGGACTCTTTTATGTAATTCTTAAAACAGAATGGTTTATTCATGTGTTTTCTCCCCAGATCACAGTGAGACAAGTTTCACTTGGAATGAAAAACATGTATGGTTCAAGAAATTACTATATTTGATGGGTATCTATGTTGGGTTCATGGGGAGAAAAAAATAGAATATTTACAACTAATAGGAAATACAAGGACACTAAAAATATAGAAAGTTAGGGAAAGGAAGGACAAGTGGACATAGGAAAAAAAATTACAGTAATTGTTTGCTGTGTCACACCAAGTGTTTGGCAATGTTTCTGAGCCAGGGTCCTCTGCCGGCTGCTCAGAAAACACTCATCCCAGAGAGGAGGAATTTTGAAAAAGAGAAAGAATTTAATTCAGAAGGTGCCAGAGCGGGGGAGGGGGGAATCCATGGAGTCAAATGTGCCTCCCAGGACAGGGTCTAGCTGTATTTATAGGATGAAAAAAAAAAAAACAGGGTAGTCAAAAGTGTTGGAAAAGGTAATGGGAATAAGAAAAGGTGAAAAAAAAAAAAAAAAAAAACTCCCACTAGTCTGTACGTGCATAGACAAGCCTCAGGGCTCTTAATATGTTGCACGTTCAGAAAATGGCGACTAGCTTGACCTGAGGGTGGAGTTTGGGGCCGTATGATGTCAAAAGGACGTCTATCAGACACTTTCTGCAGGTCCAGGTGAGGGAGTAGCGGTTTCAACCAGTTTGAGCCAGACCAGGCTTCTTCTTCAAAATTCTTAACGAAAGCTTAAAACAGTCGTTACCATGGTAACTGTGCATCAGAGGTGTTATCTATAGTAAAGCTAGCAGGGGTCCATTCAGGTTTTGCCTGCGTGAATTTCGAAAGAAAAGATGTGCTCTTAGCTTTTTAAATTTTAACTAGGAAGGGAGAATGACTCAGGCTCTTACAAGAGAAAAAAAAAGTGTTAATTTCGTTATGGGGACTCAGTTTCAATAGGAAAAGACAGCTTGCTTTCTATACTCTCACAATATTCTCAGTGTTTCACTTCTGACACCGGACTGGGGAGTTTCTCCTATATCAAGTAATTCTTCAATTCTCAGTGGACATCAACTGGTTGTCATATTGAATTCTGACCCGTCTATCTGGAGATAGTACAGACCCCACAGGTTAAGAGCTCAGTCCCGCGAGGCAGCCCGCCCCCCAACCCCCACTTCAGATGCCAGCCGCAGGCTGTAACCTGTGCTTATGTGACCAGGTTACAAATCAGAGGTTTCCATGACTACTCCTCAGGTTCCATAGTTTACTAAAATAGCTTGGAGTCATCAGAAAAACGGTTTATTTACAAGATGACTGGTTTGTCACAGAGGACAGAACTCAGGAACAGACAGCAGGGAGAAATGCCCACATGTTGGAAGTGCAGAGCTTCAGGGCCCTGTCCTGACTCCACCGGACCTCCACGTGCTCACCAACCTGGAGATTCCAGGATTTATATGCGTGCACGATGACTGAATCTTTGATCACTGCAATTTTAAGTCGCTTTCCTTGGTCTAACCTCCCCCTAGGTGTGATAAGTAGGCTGTTGATATGATTTATAATTAGCCCTGGACGTCTGTGTGAGACTTTGGGCAGCGAGTACACACTGTTGTGCTAGAAAGGGGCCCGTTATCTATGGTAAAGGAGGTGGGTTGGATAGCTGGAAAGAATTAGAGCGCGGGCAGGAGTGAATTTTGGAGGTCGCAGAGACAGAATGCGGTGCAATAGGACCTGGCGCCAGGGGCTGTGTGCGACGGTGGGGGTGGGGAGGGGTCACCCGCTTTGATCCGCGCTGTGTTCACCACGTGTGCGGTGCAGGCCAGGCGCTGCAGCGCAGTTTTCTTTTGTTTTCCTTTCTCTTCCTTTTCCTTCTTTTTATTTTATATCCTCAGTCTTTCTTTTATATTTTTTTTAAATTTTTTTTAAAGAGAGAATTTTTTATTATTTATTTTTTAGTTCTCGGCGGACACAACATCTTTGTATGTGGTGCTGAGGATCGAACCCGGGCCACACGCATGCCAGGCGAGCGCGATACCGCTTGAGCCGCATCCCCAGCCCTCTTTTTTATTTTTTATTTTGAGACACGGACTCGCTACATCGTCTTCTCTAGTGTCCTCGGAATTGCCATCCTGCCTCAGCCCCTTTAAGTAGCTGGAAATATAGCCTTGAGCCACCAGGCTACCTCAGAGCGCAGTTTTCTTTTGTAACTAGGTGAGCTGGACCCCCAAACCTGGGTGAGGTGAACTCCCAGCTCGAGGGGAGGTGGCGCGCAGTCCCCTGAACAACTGCACCTCCCGTCCAGCTTTATCAAAGCATGGTCCCCTGATCTCTCTCCTCTCTGAAACATACATTTTCAAAGAGATTAAAGTCTAGAAATGGCTTGGTAAAGGGAGAAGTCCCGTTCTCTGACTGCTAATGGCAGGCTTGAATAAGCCATTAGCCAATATTACAGCCTTCTTTAATGTAGGCTTACCAAATCCATCTTAGGGAAATAATTCAGGACCCGTAATTGCTACCTAAGCACAATATCAGCCAGGAAAACCTGTTGGAGAAAAAGATTTGCTTTATACTGACAAAAAGTTCAACGCTGATGTTGTTCAATAAGTAAATTCTAAAATGAAAAGAAACAGGTAATTCAACAGAACCTCTTGGATGCTGCCTCTCAGTCCCATTTTCCTGGTTAGTATGGTAGAGCTACATTTTTTAGAAATAATTGGCCCTCGGGGCTGAGGATGTGGCTCAAGTGGTAGCGAGCTCGCCTGACATGCGCGGGGGCGCTGGGTTCGATCCTCAGCACCACATAAAATAAAATAAAGATGTTGTGTCCACTAAAAGTTGAAAAATAAATAGTTCTTTAAAAAATATATATATTTATTTATTTTTTTTTTTAGTTATTGGCGGACACAACATCTTTGTATGTGGTGCTGAGGATCGAACCCGGGCCATACGCATGCCAGGCGAGCGCGCTACCGCCTGAGCCACAATCCCCAGCCCCCCAAAAAATAAATATTAAAAAATTCTCTCTTTCTCTTTCTTCTTTCTCTCTCTTTAAAAAAAAGAAAAAGAAAGAAATAATTGGCCTTTGTGATTTTTCTCTCCAGAACCTTATTTATTTGTTTTTGTAGTGTTGGGAATGGAACCCAGGGTCTCTTGTATGCTACAAGTGCTCTTTCACTGCACTATATCCCCAGATGTCATTTTTGAGTGCAAGCAAAAGCAGCTTTTCTTCAACTCAAGATATCTATGACAACGATTACTATGACAATTCATCGATGTTTTTAAAGGTGAATTTAGAATTGCAGTCTTTTTTCCTTTGAACAAATAATCCCAAGAGTTATTAAACATAGGAATCATTCTTTGGATTTAAGATGATTCATCTTTGTGATTTTGTTTTGCTTTTGAAAAAAGTCTACTGTTAACAATAAAGATACAGGAAACTATTTTAAAAGTAGAACCCTTAAAAAGAAATTTTATTGTATCAAGTGATTTGTTACTGAGTTTCTCCCAACCCCTCATCAGGAAATAAACCACTTTCATTATGTTTCATTGAAGTTATATTGTATCCCTTGTATAGGTACTAAGGTATTTTTCTGAGTAGGTTTTTGAAATTGAGTACCTGATGACGCACTTGGCTTTTGAGTTATCTAAAGTATTGAGACTATAAGGACATTGTTGACATATGCCTATGTGCTTCTTTTCTAGGAACCACCATACTTAATGACCTTTAGAAAATCACTTTCATGGGGCTGGAGTTGTAGCTCAGCGGTAGAGCAGTTGCCTCGTATGCATGAAGCATTGTGTTCGATTCAGCACCACATATAAATAAGCAAATAAAAATAATGGTCCATCAACAACTAAAAAAATTTTTTAAAAAGAAAATCATTTTCAATTTGAAATTTTTTAAACTTTATTTTTTTTTAACATTGCTGAGGATTGAACTCAGGACCTCATGCCAATAGGCTTTCTCAGAGCACAGTTTTCATGCATGCTAGGTAAGTATTTTACCACTGAGCTACACCTTAGATCCAGAAGATCACTTTTATTGTCCTCAAATACTAGACTTTCGTTTCTGGGTCAAAATAATTAATATCAAGTATGAAACGAACATATTAAATTTTAAAATCTTTCATCTTGGAAATCATTTTCATATCTGTGTGTCTTGT